AATGAAAATACATCCTGTGTATCAGATATTTACATTGCAATTCATAACAGTTGCAAAATTACAGTCATGAAGTAGCAACAAAAATAATGTTATGTTTGAGGGACACCACAACATGAGGAACTGTATTAAGGGGTCGCGGCATTAGGAAGGTTGGGAAACACTGCAGTATTTGGTCCTCCAGGGGTTTTGGATTTTAGCTCCCAGAATTCCTGACAGTTGACCAGATCTGTTTGGGGCTTCTGGAAGTTGGAGTATCAAACCTGGAGGACCAAACATTAGGAAACATTGACCTCAAAGGAGCACCTAGTGACATAATGGGTTAAACCCTTGTGCCAACAAGTTCTGGAGAGCGCAGATTGAGCTCCCTCTGTCAGCTCCAGCTCCCCATGCAGGGACATGAGAGAAGCCTCCCACAAGGATGGTAAAACATCAAACATCCAGGTGTCCCCTGGGCAATGATCTTGGAGGTGGCTAATTCTCTCACACCAGAAGTGACTTGCAGTTTCTCAAGTCGCTCCTGACACACACACACACACACACACAACCCTCAAAGAATCAATCTATGTTTTAAAGCACAGATTTGAGTTTATGAGCTAAACAAGATGCAATGACTGCAGAAAAATTTGTTTAATCATGATCTATTCACATAATGCAATCTATCCAACGCTTCTCCTCTGTTCACAGTTCACTTCACTGCAGGCAGTCTTTCTCGTTGTCACACTCACTCTCAACTGGAACATGCCTCCAAAAGTGAACTTGGCTGTTGACAAAAATGTCAAGGCCAAGGAGGTAAGTGACAAAAGGTTCATTTCCCCTCAACCTCTGCAATGGTTTTACTATGAACAACAGACTTGGCCGAGCTTCAACGGACTTGTGGATGACCTGGACTGTGACTCTGTATGCTGACAGTTTACAAGTCTCTCAACAGAATTGTTCTGAGGTCGTTCACATACTGCAAGGCCTTGACACAGTGAAATCTTATTCCAGGTTCCCTTCTGAATTTTATTGCTCTTCCCTGTGCTTTTCCATTAGTTGTCTAGGAAGAGTATGAGGTTATCCAAGGCTGCTCACATTTTACCCTAAAGCAATGTTGGTCAAACTGGTGACTCCTCTAACACTCCCTTGTGATGCCCCCCTGGGGTCCCAACCTCCAGTTTGAATTCTGAACCCCACCAATGATAGAATTGGGCCAAACTTCTTATACAGAACCCTCATGACCATCAGAAAATAATGTGTTTTCCGATGGTCTTTGGTGACTCCTCTAACACTCCCTTGTGATGCCCCCCCCCCCGGGGTCCCAACCCCCAAAGACCATCGGAAAACACAGTATTTTCTGATGGTCATGGGGGTTCTGTATAAGAAGTTTGGCCCAATTCTATCATTGGTGGTGTTCAGAATTCTCTTGGATTGTAGGTGAAATATAAATCCCAGCAACTACAACTCCCAAATGTCAAAGTCTATTTTTCCCAAACTCCACCAGTGTTCATATTGGGCATATTGAGTATTCATACCAAGTTTGGTCCAGATCCATCATTGTTTGAGTCCACAGTGCTCTCTGGATGTAGTTGGAACTACAACTCCAAAACTCAAGGTCAGTGCCCACCAAACCCTTCCGGTATTTTCTGTCAGTCATGGGAGTTCTATGTGCCAAGTTTGGTTCAGTTCCATCATTGGTGAAGTTCAGAATGTTCACTTATTGTAGGTTAACTATAAATCCCAGCAACTACAACTCCCAAATGTCAATATCAATTATCTCCTTTCCCACCCCCACAAACCCCACCAGTATTCAAATTTGGGAGTATTGGGTATTTGTATCAAATTTGGTCCAGTGAATGAAAATACATCTTGCATATCAAACATGACGATTCATAACAGTAGAAAAAGTACAGTTATGAAGTAGCAATGAAAATAATTTTATGGTTTGGGGTCACCACAACATGAGGAACTGTATTAAGAGGTCGCAAAATAAGGAAGGTTGAAAACCACTGCCCTAAAGCAACTTCATCCCTGTATACTCATCCCTTTACCACCCAACATTCCCACAGCAGTCTTCTCCAAACTGTTGTGTTTTGGACTCCAATGCCCCTCAACTCTAGTCAAAATAATTGTCAATAATGCTGGGATCTGTAGTTTAAAATTTCTGAAGGGCATCAGACTGAGCAAAGCTGCTTTACAACAACTTCTTTAACTTGTGAAACTGTCTTCAAAATAGTGCCAGAAACTTAACAGCACTAAATACTTAAAACGAGGATGACATAGTTCAAGGCCTGGCAAGATAATACATGTGAAACATTTTGAACTCTTTGAAGTGCTGCATAATTGTTAAGTACTTTTCAGAAGAAACTGTCCATCTAAATTCTCTTATTTTATTTCTGAAATATTTTGTACTTTGGTATTTGAGTACAGCAGAGAGCCAGAGTGGTGCAATGGTTTTAAAGTTGGACTACGACCCTGGGGACCAGTCTTTACAGTCACACTTGGTTGTGGAGACCCACCGGGTGAACTTGGACAAGTCAGACACATTAAGCTTCAAAGGAAGGCTTCAAAGGAATCCCAGCTTCTGAACAAATCTTCCCCCAAAAAACACAAGCCTTAGTTAGTAGGAAAACAACTTGAAGGCACACAAACAACAATAAGTACAATGCTGATGTTCTCACTGTGAAGGACATAAGCCTTTGCCACTTATGCCTTTACAGCCCATGAAATGGCATGAGGAGGTAGATAATAATAATAATAATAATAATAATAATAATAATAATAATAATACTTTATTTATATACCGCTCCATCTCCCCGAAGGGATTCAGAGCGGTTCCCAGGTAACATCACAAAACAACATAACCATAAGATTAACAAAACAAAATATAAGCATAAAAATTGTCACCAGAACACACATATATTAAAAGTAATCCTGCCTGTTCAAGGCAATTTAAAAATTTAAAAGGCCGGGCCAAGATTTGTGCAAGCCCAAAAATTCTAGGGGGCCCGGGAATTAAGTGCAGTGCTATGGCAGGCAACAATAATATTAGGTACGGGTCTGTGGCTGTTCATTCTGAGGCCGATTAGAGGAAATAATCTGAGTAATTGGTAGGAAGAATAAGGCCGCATTCGACAATGTGTAGGGCTGAGTTAGAACTGGTCATTTTCAAAGGCTTGTTGAAACCACCAGGTCTTCAAGCTCTTAGGAGAGGAGGGGAGGGATGGGGCCTGTCTTATTTCCCTTGGAAGGACGTTCCAGAGACGGGGGGTCACCACTGAGAAGGCCCTCTCTCTCGTCCCCACCAACCGCGCTTGAGACGGTAGTGGGACAGAGAGGAGGGCCTCCCTGGAAGATCTTAGAGCTCATGCTGGTTCATAGAAGGAGATGCGATCGCGGAGATAGGCGGGGCCAAAACCGTTTAGTAACCGTAGGTACTTGTTCAGTATTCCAGTAGATCTTACGGAAGAGTGGGAAGCCTGCAGCCTTCCATGTATTGCAGGGTTATAACTTTAAGCATCTTTGATCCTGATTACTGGAAGAGTTTAACATCTCCAAAAGAGTCAAAGTTCCCCCACTCTTTCTAATGACATAAGAGGCAAATATGTCTGTGTGTCGTCTCACAATTGGTTTGTGTACCTTGAAGTCAGAAATGAAGGATTGCATTTTATGTTTTAAGGATACTTTAACGGTACCAGATATTGTTAAGCAGGGTCACTTCAAGTTAGTATTTCGATGGGATACTACCAAGGTTTCTGAGGTGCTGTAGGGCAATGGTATCAAACCTGTGGCCCTCTAGATGTTTTGAACTTCAGTTCCCAAAATTACTGGCCATTGGATAAGCTGGCTAGGGCTTCTGGGAGTTGGAGTCTGAAAGATCTAGAAGAACACAAATTCTACATCTTTATTGTAGAGTATATTTTAAAGCAGGCTTCCACAACCTGTGTCCCTCCAGATGTCTTGGACTTCTGTTTCCAGAATTCCTGACCATTGAACAAGCTGGCTAGGGCTTCTGGGAGTTAGAGTCCCAAACACCCGGAGGGCTGCAGGTTGTGCAGGCCAGTTTTAGAGGAAGGAACTGGCAAAATCACTTCTGAATATTCCTATGATGTTAATGGAGTCTCCACAAGTAGACAGGTGACTTGAAGGCACACATACACACATTTTTTCCTTAATGTTTTGTACTCAGGTTTCATAGTTAGAGAGGCATTCCGTTTTGTATATTTTCAGTATTAATTTCTCCAAAATACTGCCTCTTCCTGCTTTATGGTTTTGGTACACTCTTTAGGCATGCCCATAAACGTGATATGTGTAAGCAGTGCACTGAATACCAAAGGCATGGAGAAAGTAATCACCACCAGTATACAAAGCTTCTATACAATTTTCACACCTGACATTTAAGTGGGGAAATTATTATTATTAAAGGTAAATATTTCCCCTCACATTAAGTTGTGTCTGACTCTGGGAGGTGATGCTCATCTCCATTTCTAAGCCAAAGAGCCAGCTTTGTCCGTAGACATCTCCAAGGTCATGTGGCCAGCATGACTGCATGGAGCGCCGTTACCTTCCCGCCAGAGTGGTACCTACTGATCTACTCACATCTGTATGTTTGCGAACTGCTAGGTTGGCAGAAGCAATTACTACTACTACTACTACTACTACTACTACTACTACTACATTTATACCCCACTTTGTCTCTCCACAAGGAGACCTAAAGTGGCATCTCTGATGTCTGCAAATCAATAGAAAAGTTTCACGGTCACAACTGTACTTAAAACTGAAATTGTGTTTTTTACTACCCTTCCTTTCCAGGTAAAAATATGTTCTTACCATCCCTTGGGAATGCACTAAGTATTCAAGCAGCTACCAAAACAATGATTATGAGCAATTATACTCTTTCTATAGTCACAAAAGTGTATCTTAACAAATGCACCATGATTTGTCTGCAGAAAATGTGGACTTTTACAGGTATATTTACAGTACATGATATGTTGTTGAAAATGAAAATAACCTAGAAACAAAAATGTAGAAAAATATTTTAATATGCTTTCATGTGAACATGAAGAGAATGCCACATATGTTTTAATACAGTTTAGATAATAAAATAATGGTGATGATGATTATAATAAAAACGTGATTCTTCAAATGTGTAAAAAGTAAATAAATTGTATCTGAAATCCAGTAACAAAAACAATATGAGCAAACAAAATTAAGTTTTTCAGTAGGTATATTGATAAATACAGGTATTGTATATATCAAAAACATAAAAATTGTATTATAATGATAAAATAATTCAAGTAAATGGTAACATAAAATTTGTTATGAATGACGGATGAGCTTTCTTAGAATTACTTCATCTGCTTTACTAAAAGAGCCACTGATCTCTCAGATTAGTTCACAAGATCCAAATCTTCAAACCTGCTGAAAGTAGTCCATGAGAAACTTGAACAAATCAGTCAGCTCCAGTAGTTACCTGAAAAAGAAACAAGCACACATTAAAGAGCTATTGTAGAATAGTGTTTGAACAGTCGATTACAACTCTAGAGATTAGGGTTTGAATCCCGCTCAGCCATGGAATCCCTTTGGGTAACCTCAGGTGAGTCACACTCTGGTCCTTTCTGCACTGTACGATAAGTCAGAATCTGATCCCAGATTATCTGCTTATCCCAGATTATGTGGCAATGGAGACTCATATAATCCAGTTCCAAGATCCTGGGATATAGGGCAGTGTAGATCCAGCCTCTATCACTCTCAGTGGAAGGCAAAGGCCAACCCTCTCTGAACAAATACTGTCAAGAAAACCAGTGATAGGGTCTCCATAAGTCTGAAACAACCTGAAGGCCCACAACAACACATTAGTCGAATGTTTACATCGTATTATTGGAGTCAGGATGCCCACAAAAGAAGAACTTGCTGTATCAGGCAGTTATAAGGGATATTATTGATAAATTCTGAGTAACTCCATGAGTTTGATCTAGAGCAGTGTTTTGGCCTACAACTTCCAGAAATCCCAACCAGTTTACCAGCTGTTAGGATTTAACTGGGAGTTGAAGGCCAAACATCTGGGGACCCACAGGTTGAGAACTACTGATCTAGAGCATCAAATGGCAAAGGGTGGGATCAAAATGGCCACCTGCATAATAGGGCATTTGGAGGGCCTTGGATGGCAGCTAGTGAAGGAACACAGCCTGAAGGAGAAACTGGCACCACTCTCATAAAGAGAAATACAGGTTGAGCATCCCTGCATCCAAAATGTTTGGAACCAAAATAATTCCATATTTTGGGGATTTTTTTGGATTCTGTAATACCTGCACGTACATAATGAGAGATCTAGGACACAGGAAACAGAATTAATTTATGTTTCACATAACCTTATACACATAACTCTATGTGGGATTCTCTTTGAAGACTGTTTGAAAGCTTTAAGTGGTCCAACGGGCAGCAGACAGATTCCTTACTGGAGCAGCGTACAGGGAATATACAACCCTTCTTTTACGTCAGCTCCACTGGCTGCCTGTCTGCTACTGAGCACAATTCAAAGTGCTGGCTTTAGCCTATAAAGCTCTTAATGTTTCCGTCCCAGCATACCTATCCAAGTGCATCTCCCTCTATGAACCATCACGGAGGTTAAGATCTTCTGGGGAGGCCCTGCTCTCGGTCCCACCTCCTTTGCAGGCGTGACTGGTGGGGATGAGAAACAGGGCCTTCTCAGTGGTGGCCCCTAAGCTCTGGAACTCCCTCCCCAGTGAAATTAGATCAGCGGCCTCCCTCTTGGCCTTCAGAAAGAAAGCAAAGATCAACCTTTGGCCAGTAAAGTGATGCAGTACAAGAAATGAACAAGGAATATGTGCAATTGACAGTTGGAATGGCTTTAGTTTACAATTTTGGATTATGTGATTTCAATGTTTATACTAAGTTTTAATTCTATGTCCTACTGTCTAAGTGTTTTTATTTATATCTCATGTTTTAATATGGTTAATGGTTTTAATTCATAGTGATATGTTATTGTTTAGATATTATGCTTTGGTTTTCACATGTATGTTTGGAATTGAATTTTGTCACTATTATGTTGGAAACTGCTTTGAGTCTCCCCCGGGGTGAGAAAAGCAGTATAGAAATGCAGTAAATAAGTAAATAACAATAACCCAAAGGTCATTTTATACAAAATATGTTTACTAAATTTGTGTATGGAACAAAGGTTTGGTTACACTGAACCAGATATTTGGCCAACCTCTTTAAATGCAACACAAATAAAATGCAAATATGTATCCATTTTCAAGCATGGCATTGCAGCAAAGGGGTCGTTATCTCAACCACTCGTGTGGATAATAATAATAATAATAATAATAATAATAATAATACTTTATTTATACCCTGCTACCATCTCCCAAGGGACTCGGTGCGGTTTACTTGAGGCCGAGCCCACAATACATCAATAATAAAAGCAATAACAACAAATAATACAAAACAATAAAATAAAACTCATAGCAAAAAAAGCAATAAGCATTAACAGTAACACAACAACATTTAAAACCTATGGCTGGGCCAAATGTAATAATTAAAATTTAAAGATAATGCTGAGCATGAACAGATGAAATATGAACTAGGATAGAGATTTCAGAGAGGGATGGGGCGTGCAGACATTCCTAGATCCATAGTAAAGTGTATTTAGAGGACATATTGCTAGGAGTTTCCTTATTCTGGGGAGGGAAGGCATACTGGAACAACCACTGGAACAATTTTGGAGTATTTTGGATGTCAGAATTCAACCACTGCTTTAAATTATACTCTCAACCAATCAGCACAAAGAGTGGGAAACACTTGTCATGCTTTAATATGGATACACATTTGCATTTGTGTTGCATTTAAAGGGGCTGGTCAAATATCTGCAATGCAGCATCAGATTTCAGGTAGTTCAGATCTTCATTTGTTCTCACACTGGTAACCATGGTTTCCAGGTTTGGACCAAATGGAGAAAAGAGCATTAATTAATGCTGGAAGTCTTCAACCGCAGTGTGCACGGGCGTGAAGCTTACATATTTCTTGGCGTGATCAAATGAGATAGTATTATATCTAAAATAGGCTACAATCTCACACATTGGTTGACATCACATTGCTGCTGATGCTATCAACGTCTGTGGAATCGCTTGTCAAGAAGATCTGATACAGTCCTGCATTCACATTACAGTCACATCTTATTTGGAGTTTCAGTTTCCGCAGGATTTGCATATCCTGTTGCCCTGCAGAAATGTTGAGTGATCAGTGAGCCTCTTTCAATGTGAAAGCTCTTGGTGACATCACCTGGAAGGTCCCTTTTAGTTAATTACTAGTGTGAGTCACTTGCTTCTAAGGGCACCGGGTGCCCGTGTGCTGCAGTTGCAACATTTGCGGACATTTATTCATGGTGGCGTAAATATCAAAGTAAAGGCAAAGTGGGCGAAGACTTGGTGCTTTGAAGATTACAATCTGTAATATTACAAATTGCATCACCCTCCTTTATCTTAAAAGGCACCTCCGCATACCTGCAGCTGTGTGCTGAGCTGCTGTCTCATCAGAAGGCAGAAGCGAGGCCCAGGCTTGCCATACACCTGCACGTTCTCATTTTGAACTTAATGCTATTCACAAAGTACCAAAGAGATGGGAGGGTGGGAAATTGCTCCCTTTATTGAAAAGCAAAATGATTTCACTTTGCCACTAGACTGGAGTCATTGTCACATCGCTTTGCTTTGCAATCTCAACTGTGAAGCATGACAAGCTGAGTAGGTGACATCAGTTTACCTTCTGGTACGGTAGGTGCTCAGTTCCTCTTGCAGGATGGATGCTCTTTTCTGCAGAAAGTTTACCTAGAAAAATACAATGATTGTGATAAAGCTCCTCCAGCTCTACAAGAGACCAGTGAACAAAAGGCGCAGTGGCTGTGGTTTCTCAGGAATCTATTCATCCAGTTCTTATTTAAATTCAGTTTACGATCTCATTATCTGTACTTCTGATCTAGAGTTTGACCTTGGTGCCTCTGATATTGTGCAAGGGAAGCAGTCTGAACATTAGCAGGATGGAGTCACATTTTAATATAACTCTTGGGCAAAAACAAACTTCAAAGATATTTACAAGGGACTCAAGAATTGAGGAAGGTTTTTTTGTGTCAGGAGAAACTTGAGAAACCGCAAGTCGTTTCTGGTGTGAGAGAATTGGCCATCTGCAAGAATGTTGTCCAGGGGACTCCTGGATGTTTTCCCATCCTGTGGGAAGCTTCTCTCATGTACCCACACGAGAAGCTGGAGCTGACAGAAGGGAGCTCACCCTGCTCCCCAGATTCAAACCACTGACTTTTTGGTCAGCAGTCCTGCCAGCACAAGTAAATAAGTAAATAACAATAACCCAAAGGAACAAAGGTTTGGCTACAGTGAACCAGATATTTGTGCACTGTTGATTATACTTATGCCATTGTATTTGTACTTATGTGTTGTCTGTATGAGGCACTTGGAGTGCTTCTGTGAGCCGCCCTGAGTCCCTTTGGTGAGATTGTGGTGGGTTACAAATAAAGATTATTATTATTTTACTGGCACAAAAACACAGTATGTCACAGCAAACGAGATCTATATGCTGGATTTTGTATCACAAAATCACAAGTCAAACACTTCCCAAGCGTCTAGGACTGTGTGATGTATTTTTGAATGATGCACGCAAATCTAAGTAAGTTGACAAATCATGATTTTGTCAATGTTTATTGTTTCCAAAATGCTGGCTGAGATCTTTTGGCAGGGCACCCAATGTGCCAATAACCACTGGGACCACCTGTACTGGTTTATGCCCGGTTCGAGTTTGAGGTCCTGATAACAGATGAGGTTTTTTCTGTTGTTTTTCGTCAATTCGGCTGTCACCTGGTATGGCAACATCAATAATCCAAACTTTTTTCTTTTCCACAATCGTGATGTCTAGTGTATTGTGTTCCAAAACTTTGTCAGTTTGGATTCAAAAGTCCCACAGTATTTTAACGTGTTCATTTTCCACTACCTTTGCGGGTTTATGGCCCCACCAGTTCTTTACTACTGGCAGGTGGTACTTGTGACAAAAGTTCCAATGAATCATTTGGGCCACAGAGTTGTGCCTCTAATTATGATTATCCCACTGCACCACCCAGGGCTCCATTTAGGAAGTGAGCAGGGTCCATATAGTATCTATGATACTATGTGTGTGTGTGAGTCATATATATCTAACTATATCTGTAGCTGGATGACTCTTTGTCAGGAGGGCTTTAATTACGTTTTCTTGCCCTTGTGAACTTGGACTGGATGGCCTTAAGTATTTTCTGTTGGTCATGGGAGTTCTGTGTGGAAAGTTTGGCCCAGTTCTATCGTTGGTGGAGTTCAGAATGCTCATTGATTGTAAGAGAACTATAAATCCCAGCAACTACAATTCGCAAAGGTCAAGGTCTATTTCCCCTAAACTCCACGAATGTTCACATTTGGGCATATGGAGTATTCATGCTGAGTTTGGTCCAGATCCATCATTGTTTGAGTCCACAGTGCTCTCTGGATGTAGGTGAACTACAACTCCCAAACTCAATGTCAATGCCTACCAAACACTTCTAGTGTTTTCTGTTGTTTATGGGAGTCCTGTGTGTCACGTCTGGTTCAATTCCATCGTTGGTGGAGTTCAGAATGCTCTTTGATTGTAGGTGAACTATAAATCCCAGGAACTACAACTCCCAAATGACAAAATCAAAAATTTTTGAGTGAAGGGCATATATTGGCTTGTTAGGTATATGATGTACATATTTGATGTCAATTTGTCCATTGGTTTTTGAGTTACGTTAATCCCACAAATGAACACTACATTTTTATTTATATAAATGGCATTGTTAACACCAAGATATGACAGACAACAAATATGATATTTGCTTGAGATGTTCTGTTAGGAAATAAAAGAGGGATCCCAATCTATATAAATAAAAATGTAATGTTCATTTGTGGGATTAACATAATTCAAAAACCACTTGGTGAATTGACACCAAATTTGGACACAATACACCTATCGGGCCAACGAGTGTCCATCACTCATAAAAACATGGAAAAACACAGCAGAAGAGACTTAAAAAGCCAAAAAACAAAAAAAAGTTACACTGCATGCACAAAACCACATATATACACAAACACACATACACAAATATATATACACTCACATATATGCATATATACACATAAAAACACATATACACAGAAACGGGGAAGAAAGGAAGGAGAGAAGAAGGGATAGAAAGAGGGAAAGGAGGAGGGAAGGAGAGAAGGAAATAAAAAAGTGAAAGAAGGAAGGAAAAAGAGGGAAGGAAGGATGGAATCAAAAAGCAAAGGAAGGGAGGAAAGAAACAGGTAGAGAAGGAAGAAAGAAAAAGGGAAAGTAGAAGGAAAAAAGGGAAGGAAGGAAAGAGGGAGGGAAGGAAGGAGAGAAAAAAATGAAAGAAAGAGGGAGGGAAGGTTTGGCCACAGTCACTCAAAAAACACTGAAAAACACAGTGAAAGAAACTTAAAAAGCAAAAAAAAAAATTATATTACAACGCATGTGCATAACCACATAAATACAAATATACACAAATATATAAATACACACACACAAAACACATATACACATACTGGGCCACAGCAACGCGTGGCAGGGACGGCTAGTGATCTTATAAGGGAGCGACTATTGTAATAAATTCTATATAACAGTGCCTTGATGCCAAGCTAGGACATCTCGCAAAGAATACACTGAACGGCTGAGAAGGGAGGCAGAGGGACAGGCCAACGTATTTTAAACATAAGTCAAGCTTTGTTTGAGAAGTGAATGTTTCCTATTTGTTCATTGTTAATGCTGCTCGGTTGGTACTTTTCCCCCAGTCAAGCCCTCTCATTCCTCTGTAACAATTAATAACCCTGACAGGTGCAAAGATTCCACTGCTCTTTCTGTCTGATGTTTTTTGAAGCAGGAATTTCAACAATTTTCAAAGAAGAGGACACCTGTGCTTCAGAAGGGAGCCTTGAGTACTGAACAGTCTCTAGCTGGCTACTGTATTTCACTGCACAGGCAGCTGCCAGCTATGCTTTTCTACGTTAACACCCACTTTCAGAAGTCTGGAGTGACTTTTACTCCTTTGAAATGCTGTCTAAGCCCTGCAGGTGGAAATCAGATTTCATTAAAACACACACACACACACACACAAACCCCAACCCCAAACCTACTTCACTGGAAGGTGGATATTTTTTCAGTTCTCATCACCAGAATGTTTCCCACAAAGCATCATTATTAGAGAAGCCACAGTTAATACCTAGAAATAGGTTTACTAAGTGAATCCTCTTCATCTACTGTAATGACAATGTTGGCTTGACAAAGACTGCCAACAGGAAATGTTTCCCACTTGCAACTGTACCAGAGGCAATACCCATAAAACCTTGGCCAGCATAAAATAGAATTCATTTCTCATGGCAGTCTCAATGTAAGAAAGACTACTAAAGGAAACATCCTGTATACATAATTTCTCTACTACAAGCAAATTGATGACTGGGTTGTTGTAGGTTTTTTCGGGCTATATGGCCATGGTCTAGAGCAGTGTTTCTCAACCTGGGGGTCGGGACCCCTGGAGGGGTCGCAAGGGGTGTCAGAGGGGTCACCAAAGATCACCAGAAAATACTGTATTTTCTGTTGGTCGTGGAGGTTCTGTGTGGGAAGTTTGGGCCAATTCAATCGTTGGTAGGGTTCAGAATGCTCTTTGATTGTAGGTGAACTGTAAATCCCAGAAACTACAACTCCCAAATGTCAAGGTCTATTTTCCCCATACTCCACTAGTGTTTACATTTGGACATATTGAGAATTCGTGCCAAGTTTGGACCAGATCCATCATTGTTTGAGTCCACAGTGCTCTCTGGATGTAGGTAAACTACAACTCCCAAAGCTCAAGGTCAGTGCCAACCAAACCCTTCCAGTATTTTCTGTTGGTCATGGGAGCTCTGTGTGCCAAGTTTGATTCAGTTCCATTGTTGGTGGAGTTCAGAATGCTCTTTGATTGTAGGTGAACTATAAATCGCAGCAACTACAACTCCCACAGGACAAAATCAATACCCTCCCCCAATCCCACCAGTATTCAAATTGGGTATTTGTGCCAAATTTGGTCCAGTATATGAAAATACATCCTGCATATCAGATATTTACATTACTATTCACAACAGCAGCAAAATGACAGTTATGAAATAGCAACGAAACTAATTTTATGGTTGGGGGGTCACCATAACATGAGGAAGCGTATTAAGGGGTCGTGGCATTAGGAAGGTTGAGAACCACTGGTCTAGTGGCATTCTCTCCTGACGTTTCGCCTGCATCTATGGCAAGCATCCTCAGAGGTAGTGAGGTCTACAGTGAGGTAGTGCAGGCGAAACATCAGGAGAGAATGCCTCTAGACCATAGCCATATAGTCCGAAAAAATCTACAACAACCCAGTGATTCCGGCCAGGAAAGTCTTCAACAATAAATTGATGACATTTCTCTATTTTGAAAAAGTGTGTGTACTGTGGAAAACTATGAACACAGACTGGAGGCCTTCCTCTTTTCCTGAGCCCATAAATCCAAACGCTTATGTGCCCGAAAGTAAAGACAGTCACAGGAGACTAATTAAAATAGTCTTATTTCAGGCTTACTAAATGCACATAAGCCAAAAGACAATCTTTACAGAAGGTCTGCCCTTAAAGTTGCAACTCATTCAGCAAATATACATTTACCCACTTGGCATTAAAGGAATGTACAGCCTACAAGTATTTCAGGTAGCTCCAAGGAGATTTAAAATAGTTGCTAAAAGTTCCTACATTGCAAGGCTGGAATGCTTTTTGTACAGTCATCAATGGATTAAAATTTATACGTTCTGGTGCTCTGTGAATTCTTGGATCTATATTCCAGTCTCTACATTCTGCCTGCAATCGCAAAAGCATGCAGATGCAATCAAACAGTGGGGCACAATTCTTTCTATGAAGAAAACAAAGTCTCTCTTCACCATATAATGACTACCCAAAGTCATCTGCATCATGACAATTAATAAATGGCTGCCATGACCTTACCTTTAGCCAATTTTATGTGAATCTGTAGTGGGCTAACTTTACCTCTTTACCCATGATCACACTGCTTAATGAAACACAAAATTAACTCTGGGCAACTTCACTGCAGAATGGATGCAGTTTGATACCGCTTTAATTGTCATGGCTCAATGCTATGGAATCAGGGGATTTGTAGTTTGGTGAAGCATCAGGACTGTTTGACAGAGGAAGTTACAGACTTTGAGGGACGCCTGGCTCGAGAGCAGTACGTGTGAAAAGGATCTTGGGAGTCCTCGTGGACAACAAGTTAAACATGAGGCAACAATGTGATGTGGCGGCAAGAAAAGCCAATGGGATTTTGGCCTGCATCAATAGGAGCATTGTATCTAGATCTAGGGAAGTAATGCTACCCCTCTATTCCGCTTTGGTTAGACCACACCTGGAATATTGTGTCCAATTCTGGGCACCACAATTCAAGAGAGATATTGACAAGCTGGAATGTGTCCAGAGGAGGGCGACTAAAATGATCAAGGGTCTGGAGGACAAGCCCTATGAGGAGTGGCTTAAGGAGCTGGGCATGTTTAGCCTGATGAAGAGAAGGCTGAGAGGGGATACGATAGCCATGTATAAATATGTGAGAGGAAGTCACAGGGAGGAAGGAGCAAGCTTGTTTTCTGCTTCCCTGGAGACTAGGACGTGGAACAATGGTTTCAAACTACAAGAAAGGACATTACATCTGAACATGAGGAAGAACTTCCTGACTGTGAGAGCCGTTCAGCAGTGGAACCCTCTGCCCCGGAGTGTGGTGGAGACTCCCTCTTTGGACGGTGTTAAACAGAGGCTGGATGGCCATCTGTCGGGGTGTTTTGAATGCAATATTCCTGCTTCTTGGCAGGGGGTTGGACTGGATGGCCCATGAGGTCTCTTCCAACTCTTTGATTCTATGATTCTATGTAAAACTATGACTCCCATAGATTTATGGCACAGCAGTTAAAGTGGTGTTAAACTGCATTAATTCTGCAGTATAGTTGGCCCCTCTATTGCTCACACCAGCACACCATTATGACCGCTGTGACCTCTTTGCATAATCAACCCTTCTCACGGGCCATTAGCATTCCAAGCGTGTTAATTCAAGATTTTACCTGAGATTTTAGTGAAAGAATTGTGTCTTCAAGTTCCTGTCTCAAAGATGTTGGCATCAGACCTTTAAGTTTGGTTTCATATTCTTGCCGTATAGAAGTTATCTGAAACCAAAGAAAGTAAACATTTATATAGTAATGAAAAGATCAATGGCTTAAGGTTATTTTGGAGCAGTCGTAGTCTACTTCCTCCAGATTGCACTTCATACTGCAGGAACCCGTATCCAGGATGATGTGGACAATGAGAAATGGTTATGTTGGAGTGAGAGGATATATCTCTTTTTAAACTGTTATTGCACTTTTTTTTGTCTAAATGCACTTAATTGTTTTTGCTTTTTGAATGTATGTATTGATGGCATCGAATTGTGCTGATATGTAGACCGCCCTGAGTCGCCTGCGGGCTAATATGGGCGGGATATAAATAATATAAATAATGCAAATAAATAAATAAATAAATAATGTTGTACTGAAGATGCAACTCTCCTTTTTGCTCAGATAGTGCCCCTTAGATATTTTGGATTTCAGCCTCCATCATCATTAGTGACCACTGGCCTTGTGGCTACAGCCATCTCTTACACCCCACCTTTCACTTTTCTTTCATTCATTTTTGCAGTTGTGCCCTATATAGAGTTTTTCCCCCTTCTGATGGCAAAGACAGAGCAACACTTTTTGTTTTGGCAAACTATTCCTTTCTGAGTATGGAGAAGCCACACAGAACATTTTTATGGTATATGATCTTCTGCTCCTGAATTTGGCTTAATATTTCAGATATTTTGAGACTGTTTTCCAATGACATTAGTGTTCTTCAGCTGAATGAGAGAGCTGAAATAGCTAATGACCAAACTGCAGTCAACGCAGTGCTTTAAAGAAGTTTATTCAGGAGGAAATGCTTTTTAACCCAACATGACACTTCCCCGATGCTTCTTCATGGATTATTTTCCAATTACATCACCAGAAGTGAAGCCAACTGATTTGGCCTACTATTTCCCCATTCTTCAGCCCAACAATGCTTTGAAAGGATACTTATAAATGAAAACAAACTTCCATTCTTGAGGACAATTTTGTGGTTTATTTGTTCAGTCGCTTCCGACTCTTCGTGACCCCATGGACCAGCCCATGCCAGAGCTGCCTGTTGCCCGTGGCCACCCCCATCTTCTTCAAGGTCAAGGATACCATCCATTCATCTTGCCCTTGGTCAATCTTCTTCCTTTTTCCTTCCATTTTCCCCAGCATCATTGTCTTCTCCAAACAATTATATTTCCCTTATATATGAAATGGGGCCTAATGGAATGACACAAATGCAAGATTCCTTCAGTGATCTCAAGTTCTTTCTACATTTCTGTATTCCATGAGATCATAAACCAGTTCCAGCTCTATTTGGAAAAACCCTCTGGACATTTGAAAGAGCCTGTGGCCTTTCTGTAGATTTAAGAGTGAGTGCTACAGAAATATACAACCTCTTGGGAAAGTGTTTCTGGGGAAAACAGAAGGCTATATCTTTCCTTCAGGCTAAGACCTTCTCCTCTCTTGACAAATTCTGTGCTGCTCCATTGAACCAACTTACCTGTAGGAAAGACCGCCTTAGGAAAAGGAAAGCAAAGGTTTACCCTACTGGCCAAAATCCTCAGGTCCTTCCACCTCCTTTGAGTATATTAGAGACCCGGGAGTGATCACTGCAGCATGCCCAGTTCTTCACTAAGCTTAACTACTCAAAAAGAAAAAAAAACTTAGAATAAAAGATGGATATTTTTGAAAATCCTTTTATCTTTTCACTCCTTTTATGCAGGCCTGATGAAAAGGAACATTTTGTTCAAAACCTTGTTATCAAAATGTTTCTAGTCTAGCTGACCATGCAGAACAAGTCTCTTTTTTCCCTACTTCTGTGTGTGATAACTATTTGTGCTAACGCTCTCAGTGTCCTACTCTTTTAAATTTTTCACAAGTTCTTGAACAGATCACTACAAAGCTTCTTAGCTCTATGGAGACTTCATTAATCAATACTTTGTCCACAAGTATGAGGTACATCAAAACAAATAAGATTCCTACTGACTGCGATAATCTTTGTAAAGAGCTTAATAACAGGATTGAATGAAAAGTTTTAGTCATCACTTAAGTGAACATTTTCTAATTACCTTTAAATTTTTTTCTTCCTTCAATATATCATTTTAACAGAGAAGGTATTTTGTGGACAGTGAACCACAATGCAAGTCAAAGGTCTTTTCTCTTAAGTTCTCCTACCATAGCTTTCAATCTTATACAGGTATAACTGCGCTTTGAATTCACTTCCACTTCACATCACTGCCTGTTCTTTTAGGCTAGTGGTTCTCAACCTGTGGGTCCCCAGGTGTTTTGATCTACAACTCCCAGAAATCCCAGCCAGTTTACCAGTTGTTAGGATTTCTGGGAGTTGAAGGCCAAAACTTCTGGTTGAGAACCACTGTCCTAGGCCACTGCTCTCATTTCTTTCATATGGAAAAGGGGTGTTTCCTTATAGTCTAAAGCAGGGCTTTTCAAACATTTTCCACTTGTCATCCCTTTCCACTTGAGAAATGTTTACATGACCCCAGGTGTCTAGGTATATACAATAGGTATAAAAGAAAACATTTACTGACAATAAATCAGCATTTGCAAGCCTTGCTAAACAGGCTGATTTTCATTTTTATGAAGTATAGCTATAGTATCTTCTGCAGACTCCATTGTAAACACTGCACATTCTTGCTAACAGATTTGTGAAAATCTCTAAAACAGCCACTAGGTGGCAAAACTTTTACTGTTGCCAATTTTTTCATGACCTAATATCGAAGTAAGGGGACTTCACTTGGGGTCAGGACCCACAATTTAAGAAGCAATGTTCTGAAGTAGGTAAGGTAAAGGTTTTCCCCTGACATTAAGTCCAGTCGTATCTGACTCTGGGGGTTGGTGTTCATCTCCATTTCTAAGCTGAAGAACCGGTATTGTCCGTAGGTCACGTGGCTGGCATTACTGCACGAAGCACCGTTACCTTCCCACCAGAGTGGTACCTATTGATCTACTCACATTTGCATGTTTTTGAACTACTAGGTTGGCAGAAGCTGGGGCTAACAGCAGGAACTCATACCGCTCCCCGGATTCGAACCTGCAACCTTTCAGTTAACAAGTTCAGCAGTTCAGCGGTTAAACCCAATGTACCATGGGGGCTCATTATGGTCTAAAGTAGAACTTTCTAAACTGTGTTGGGCGCATTAGCATATTGGCAGCAATGTTAGGTGTGTTGTACAAATGTAACATAAAACCTCTATGTGAAATAATACATAATATTGTTGCTGTTGTTGATTCGTTCAGTCGTTTCCGACTCTTTGTGACCTCATGGACCAGCCTACTCCAGAGCTCCCTGTCGGCTGTCACCACCCCCAGCTCCTTCAAGGTCAATCCAGTCATTTCAAGGATCTCATCCATCCATCTTGCCCTTGGTCGGCCCCTCTTCCTTTTTCCTTCCATTTTCCCCAGCATCATTGTTTTCTCTAAGCTTTCCTGTTTCCTCATGATAAGGCCAAAGTACTTAAACTTTGTCTCTAATATCCTTCCCGCCAATGACCAGTCAGGCTTTATTTCCTAAAGTATGGACTGGTTGGATCTTCTGGCGGTCCAAGACACTCTCAGAACTTTCCTCCAACACCACAGTTCAAAAGCCTCTACCTTCCTTCGCTCAGCCTTCCCTATGGTCCAGCTCTCACATCCGTAGGTGACTATGGGGAATACCATTGCTTTAACTATGCGGATCTTCGTTGCCAGTGTGATGTCTCTACTCTTCACTATTTTATCGAGATTGGACATTGCTCTCTTCCCAAGAAGTAATACATAATAGCCTTTAAAAATATAAACGAATGGTTTTCATGAGATACTGTGTCTTCATGTTTTTTGTTCCTACAATGTATGTGTCAGTCTCTCTGAAAAGGGGTTGGTTTAACCTATGATTTGCTAATAAAATTGAATTACTCTGTTGTGAACTGATGCATGCCTAAAAAGTATATCCCCAGCCTGAAATGTTAGGAAAGCTCTGGTCTGAAGGATGCTTTGTGATCAAGCAAATAGGAATGGAGGATGTATGACTGAGAGTACATGCTACTCCTTTGAATTACAAAGTAAAGGAAAGCAAGTGACTTCCTTTTCATTGAATAGATATGTCTAGTGAATAAACACTTATGCCCTTTGATACTATTATTTATTGCAGGATAGAAGTCACATACATGAACAGCTTTGTGTTCCTTCTCTTTCTGTGGGACAGGGAGAATCGTGGTTTCCCGTGTTTTTACAGACTTCATCAAGCCTAGTGTCTCTTTTTCATTGCCCAATTTCTTGTGGAAATTCTCAGGAAATTTCCACAAGAACAAAAATGACACATTGTATATAGTACATGCAACACAAAAGCTTTTTTGCATTTTTGCCATGGAGCCGCCTCGAAAGTACTATTATTGTGTGTTATGGGAGTCACATAATGTTGAATCACACAATGTTGAGGATCTAACACAATTCATAGAAAAAGGTTCAGGAGACATACATTACAAAATGCAAGCTAGTCAGAAAGGATTTTCTCGCCTTCAAGAGAAGATGTGTGAAACATTGGAATACAACAGGGGCAACCTAGGTTTGCAAACTGGAATATTCATCCCTATGGCTATTGAATAGGAAAACAGACTTTAGTAGATTTAGAACACATTCCTGTTGAAGAGGCAGAAATGGATAAAACTGACAGACTAAACAAAATATTTGAGCATTACTGCGTTCCAAAGCAGAGTGATACAGTAGAGCACAAATGAATTTTGCAGTCTCCAAAGGGGCAAAACATTTTGTTTTAAAGTTGAGCCAAGCATGCTCGGCACAGACATTCTGAATAAAACACTATTTGGGATTCAGATATAACTTGAAACAGAAATCTCACAAACACAACCAATTATTCATTTGTCTCCGGTGACAACTTGGGAGCATCTCTCCCTTTATGCATTTACGCAAAAGAGCCATTGGTTTCCTCAAGATATATTGAAAGGCAGGAACATACTTGGAGCACATAAAGTTTAGTTGAATCACCCCAAAATCTGACATAAGCCAAACCACAATGAATTTGGGAA